TGCCCCGGCCCAGCGCCGCGACCAGCAACAGCACGAGCGCGCCCAACAGCAGCGACACCCCGATCAACGCCGCCACCATCTTCCCCGCCACCTCAGCGCGGGGGCGGGGCCGGCCCTGCCGGAAGTAACGGTGTGGGGGCGCGGCCAGCCGCCCCGGAAGCGACCTCCCTGAGCAAGCGCAACGCAAGGTGATGCCATGAGCTGGTGCGCATGCGCCGAGAGGCTAACGCAGCCTCTAGCGGGGGCTCGCGGGCTCCGCCTGGTGGCAGCGGGCCGGGAGCCTGAGCTGGCTGTGGAGCCCCGTGCTCCTGGCAGGGCGCCCAGGGAGCAGGACTGAGTGAGGGGACAAGCCACCCTCCAGCCCTGCCCTGGGAAGGACCAGGCGGAAGATGCCCGGGTCTCAGCACTGGGACGGCCAAAGGAGCCTGCAGCAAGGGGGAGGTCTCCTGTCAGCTGTTTCTCCCTTGCCCCTAGGCCCAGGTGTCCACCTTGCCAAGATAGATTGCGTGGTTATTGTGTCTGTGCATCAGCTTCTTCCTCGTGGCACGCAGGCTTCCACCGCAGGGATCGGTGCTGTCCTGTGACGGCCTCCAAAACAGACCAGCAGTGACGGACACAGGCCCAGTGAGTCTGACAGTTTCTGGCCGCAAATCTGCACGTAGCTTGATGGTCGTCTTGCACTGGGGTTGAGAAAGGTGCAGTTCAGTAGCTGTTACCATGACTGAGCAGTCTTAGTCTGCATCCCCTGTGCTCACTTGACACGATTAAGGGGTTAGAAAAGGTGTCCCCGATCACCCTCTCTGCATCAAAAACGTCATAAAAAGATAATTATTTTTGCAACATGAAATGTTTGCCCCTTAATGGATAACCAAGAGAACGAACAACCAGAAAGATGAACTGCCATTGTCTCCAGGGAACTAGAGAGATACAACATGGACATCACAGCTCCGAGTGAAACAAGACCACATTAGGCTCAGCTGAGGGAAGAAGGTAGAGGCTACATCAGCCCAGGACAGATGCGGCCGTGGCATTGGTTTCGCAATCAAGACTCGGCTCGTTAGTCAACTTACAGTTTCCCATGGGCGTCAGTGAACATCTTATGTCCCTCTGTCTTAAGCTCAGCCATAACCAATTCACCACTGTCATCAGTGCTTATGCCTCAACGCTCAATACTGACGATGATGTCAAAGAACAATTCTACTCCAACCTTGAATATGTTCTGATTAACATCCCAAGGATAAGGTGACTTCAGTGCCAGAGTCAGGCATGACCTGGAACTCTGGAGTGGCACGGCTGGGAAGGAAGAAGTAAGGAAAGCTAACTCCAAAGGCATGCTTCTTCTAAGCAAATATGCAGAGCATGGTCTTGTCTTTACAAATGCCATCTTCAGACAGAGTGACAAATACAAGACTATCTGGAGACACACCCGCTCTTAGCACTGGCACCTCCTCAGCTATGTTATTGTTAGAGCCTGTGATCAGATGCAAGGGGCATAATAAGATGTCCTCACACTCATGCAAGGAGCTGATGAGTGCTAGACAGATATCATTTTCTCAGATCCATTCTGAACATCCAGCTTGCCCCGAAACAGTCAAAAGCAATGCAAAAGTTTTTCAGCATCAAATCTCTTGAAGAATCATAGAATCATCATATAGAAGCAGGGCTGGAAGGGACCCCCAGAGGTCATTTAGTCCAACCCCCTGCCTGAGGCAGGATCATCCCTATCTAAACCATCTCATACAAATTATAATCTAAATCTACATAAGACTACCATCAGTTCTGACACAAGACAAACCTAACACCCCAATCTGCCACAGGTAAAGCAGGGAATCACTTCTATAAAAGGTTATCAATATCTGTCCAAGAGATCCTGGGTAGAAGACCACACCTGCCACTCCAGAGGAAGGCAAAAACCCCCATGGTCCATACCAATCTGATGATGGGGTAAAATTCCTTCCTGACTCCAAATATGGTAATTGGTCTAACCCTGAGCAGAGGGACAAGACCTTCTAGCCAGAAACCTCCAGCTTGGATCCCAGCTGGAGCATTGCCCTGCCCCAGTCAAAATCCCCAGCCTTGGCTGTAGCCAATACCCAATGCCTGTGAGAAAGGCTTAAACCCCGCCTGACTCATGTAGCAGAAAGGGGGTGGGAGGGATACCAGGGGCAACCACCAAGACCAGAAGTATGGGAAATACCCACAGGCATAGCTATGCTTAGATCACCCCTGAGCAGTAGCTGTCCAACCTCTTCTTGAACACCTCCAGGGATAAAGAGTCCACAACTTTCCTAGGCAGTTTGTTCCACTGCCTCACTGTTTTAGCAGTGAAGAAGGTTTTCTGGATATCCAATCTAAACTTATTTTGCTGCAACTTCCAGCCATTGGACTGTGTCCTCTTCTCTGCAGCAAGAGAAAAAAAGTGTTCTCCCTCTTTATGACAGCCCTTCAGGTATTTGAAGATTGCTATGATGTCCCCTCCTAAGCACCTTTTACGGAAGTGGAATATGCCTACCTTTCAGCCTCTCCTCATATGACTTGCTTTCCAAGCCCTTTATCATCTTCTCCATGTCCTTTTTAAAATGTGGAGCCCAGAACTGCACACACAACTCCAGACCCAAAGGGCTGTAAGCATCTCCAATGTCTTCACAAAAAGCTCTGCCCTGCCCATAACTGAAGGCAAAATTAAGGAACCCTGGAAGGGGTTTAAAAACACCGTCCATATGGCCTGTGCTGAATGTATTGTCTATACCATTGATTGCCACCAAGACTGGTTTGAGGAGAGTGACTGAGATCCAAGCCCTCCTCAACCAGAAGAGAAGGGCTCATTCTAACTGGCAAGATAACACCTCATCCCAGTAGAAGGAGACATCACCACTTCAAAGCCCAAGTTCAAAGAGGATCTGGGAAATCAAAAACCAGTAGTGGCAAGATAAAGCCACGGAGATTCAGCTCTATGCTGAGAAACATGACATACATGTTTTCTTCCAGACAACAAAAACCATCTATGGTCCAATCTTCTATAGTCCCACTTTCGTGTGATTGCAGAGCAATTGACTTAATCTTTGTTGCCTGTCAGGTCTAAAAAACATGTTGGGAACACCACCAGGACCTGTATGTGGCCTTCATTGATCTGACTAAGACCTTAGACTCCATTGATCACTGAGCCTTGTGAAAAGTACTGGCGGGTTTTGGATGCCCTGTAAAATACATCAAGGTTCTGAGGCTTTTCCATAACCAGATGACTGCAACTGTTCTTTGTAGAGGATCAGAGACAGATCCATTTGTCATACAAATGGGTCAAGCGAGGATGTATCACCGCCCCAATTCTGTTCTTTTTTTTTACTATCATCCTGGTTCTTGCTAAGGACCACCTGTCTTCCCCAATCAACAACGAATACCCAGTCGATGGAGGACTTTTCAATCTGGGATGTTTTTGCTTGAAGAACAAAGTATTCAAAACAACTATCCTTGACCTTCAATATGCTGACTACACCATCCTTGCGCACACTGAGGAAAACCTCCAAACCATGCTGGATCTCTTTGCAGAAGCCTTCTGAACTTTGGGCCTCTTTCACCATCAAGAAGACTGAAGTGCTCTGTCAACCTGCTCCCAGCCATAAATGTGACCCCTGCCTCCACAAATTACCAGTGAGGGGAAGAACCCGGAGGTAATCAAGCCCTGCCCTTACTTTGATAGACATCTTTTTCAGAGAGAGAACATTGATGAGGAAAACTAGCATAGGGCCCAGTGCCTAAGTGCTTCCTTCAGGAAATTGTTTCAGCATGCTTTTACTGATCATAAGCTCCAGAAAGACACCAAGATTCAGGTCTACAATGCAGTCATCATCTCCACTCTCTACAGATTTGAATCATGGGTGACCTAACATTGTCATCTTAAGAGCCTGGGGAGGTATCACTAACAATGCCTCCAGAAAATCTTTCACATCAGATGGGAAGATCGCCACACAAATGCCATCATCCTTCAGGATGCCAATGTTACCAGCATTGCATTGAGGATCCTCCAGCACCAACTTCACTGGACTGGACATTGTGTTCGGATGACCAACTCTTGGCTCCCCAAACAAGCGCTCTACTGCCAGCTTACCTGCAGCCTGAAATCTCATGGCAGCTACAGGAAATGCTACAAGTACACATTGAAGGCATATCTCAAGAAAATGGATGCTGACATCAAGAGCTCGGAGGAGCTGACTGCTAACTGACTTCAATAGCACTTCAACCTCAACCAAGTGGCAGCCCACTTTGAGGTAAAGTGTCTTGCCCTTGAAGCAGAGAAGAGAAAGGGGAGGAAGGAAGAGGAGAGAATTCCCAGCCTATGGCTTTTCTCCCCTGTGGAATGACCTGCAACTTCTGTGGATGGATCTGCGGTTCAGGGATTGGCTCTTAAGTCACCTCAAAACCCATCAATCAGCCATGGTAGAGATAATTCTTGAACTGAGGGAGTGCCACCCCTGGCAAGGTGGCCTCTCTCCATCCAGCATAAAAAGCTCAGGAGGTTAGTGTCTTTATTCCCCATATAGAGACAGGGAAACCAAGGCATGCAATGATGTGACTGGCCATGGAGTCAGGCACAGAGCCCACAGCCTCCATGCCCAGGGCAGGGCTCTTTCTACAAGGCCTCTGTGTTGACCACAGCTCAGCCTGTCACATCCTGTCTTCTGGCTCCACCAGCTCTGGCCAGCTCTCAGTGGTTGTTGCAGAAGCCCCATGCAGACTGGGCCCTAGTCCCTGGGAGGAGGATTTAACACTGTCTATCAATCCTAGGTTCCAGGACTGGGAAGAACAAGGAGCCCTTAGGGCTCCAGCATGGACTGGGAGAGCACAGAAGTTGTGGAGAGGAGGCTGGAGACAAGTGAAGGGAAAGGCATAGAGGCAGGTACAGGGGTGGCACTATGGGGAGGTGTCACCCCTGTGGTCAGGGATTGCCCTTGTTGTACCCATGTGCATAGGGCTCCTATCTCCTCCCCTCCCAAGGTGGTGATAGTTCTCCATAGTTCTTTATGGCACTTTCTCTGCAACTGTATAACACGAGAGGTTTTTTTCCCCCAGTGAGCAATGCCCCTTACAGTTCCTGCACCTCTGGTGTGGAGTTTGTCTTTTCAAACCATCCATTTACATAATGTGTTCTGCTTATGACATGATTAATACAGAACCCAGTAGGGCAGGGGTTGGCAACCTATGGCCCACAGGCCAGATCTGGCCCCCAGAACCTTTGGATCTAGCCTGCAGATTCAGGGCTTTGGTGGCACTTGGTGGCAGGTGTGTCTTTGCTGGTGTGCTTCTCATGCCACAGTGAGGACGAACACAGGCCCTGGCTGTTTTCCCCATACCACCAAAGGAAGAAGTGCTGCCTGCAGGCACTCTCCCTTCCCTTCTGCCTCCCCCCACCCCCGACGTAAGACAAGCAACAGTGGCAGGTAGCACCCACCTTATTAACTCAGACCTAGGGCATGTCATTCTGGCCCACAGTCAGAAAAGGTTGCCTACCCCTGCAGGAGAGGAATGAGTCCTTCAGCACATGTTTTAGGTAAAAGGAGACCATTTCACATACTGATCTGAGGGGAATGATTTGTTCTTCAGGTGAGAGATATTAAAAACCACATTGTATAAGGTGAAAAAAAACAGTCTGTTTATCACACAGAAACTGTCCTTGCATACAGAAACAGGCTTAGCATGTGGCATCCTATATTGGCTCATAGGAAAACTTCTGCATTCAAGAACTTCCCAAACTAACAGAGAATGTTTGTTTGGGATACTGTCATGAAGGGGAAGTCCAGCAGCTGGTCCAAAGATGAGGGGCAAGAAAACATATTTCACATAATGTAGGGAATAGAGCAACAAAATACAACAGGAGACATTACTGAGCAGCCTGATCATTCAACTGAACACAGAAACAATATGAAAGGGAGACTGTTTTGAGTCTGTACAGTATTCTTCACTCCAGAAGCCAGCTTCTGAGTTTGAATGAGACTCAAAGAGCATGGGGATTGCACCTGAGATGTGAACAGAACAACTACTGCTTAGGATTTGATATGCAGTAGCCTAAGTAAGTATTCCAGACTATTGCGGACATTAACATTTTTGCTGTAGGAGCCCTTTCTCCATGGCCACAGATGACAATCAAAAATACTCAGAGTCTGGAGAGAGCTGGTTATGCAGAGCCTAGGGCTGAACACAAACTGAAGATAGCTGCATCTGCTGTAGAAGGCTTGGATGCTGAGAACTGACCATCTTTTGAGGTACAATTCTTTCCATAGGAACACAGAGTTTCCAATACCAGACTTGTCATTGGTGACTCCTGTTTCTTGGCAGATAGGGGTTGAAGTTTCACTGACTTGTGCTGGTTCTCCTGCAGCTCTCCTAGTCTCCATTTCGCAGTGCCCGTGGTGCCAGATTTCATGTATTGCTTCAGAAGATGAGGCTGCAAGGAGAGTGAAGGCTCAAATCCTTCCTAGAGAGATCCAGGGCTGCCCAAATGGCTTCCTACCATAGTCATCAGCTGCTGACTCATAGCCAAGTGGGAAGCTGTAGAAGGTGCTCTCCCCTTGAGGGGTTTCCATGCTCCTCTTAGTTGGCAGGACTTCCACCCTCCCTGCTGAAGGCCAGGGGTTGTTCTGCAAGAGTGAATCATCTTGCCAACGCTGTTCTAGGCTGTGAAGTCCCCTGCTGTGTAACTAGGATGAGCTGTTGCTGGGGTTGGCCCCGGTCACTGCCTGGGTAGCCTGCTCTGGTATACATGCAGGGTCTGTCAGGATGGAGGTGGAAATGCTTAGCTCACGTAGAGAGCTCAGGACAGCTGAGGAAAGAAAGCCAAATGGGACAAGTCAGCCTGCTCTGCCTGACACACTACTGAAGGCCAGTGTGCTTGCCATGGGCATAGGCACTACCAACTGGGGCATCTAGCCCCACATCCTGACAGCACCCAGTGTCCATTGCTGCACAGGACAGTGCCAAAATCCCCCATCAACAGGCTGCTCTGAGATAAGCTGCCCTTGAAGAGGGTGTCTTTCTAACCCTTGGCAAGACAGGAGGATTTGGATCCTAACATGTTCACAGATCTTCCCATGACTAAACCTTTAACAAATCCTGCTACACTTGGCTTTGGTATGATCATTCTAGCAGTAGTGAAGTCCACAGGCTGATCATGCTGTGTGAAAAGTATTTCCTTCTGTGGTGTGCAATGAGCTGAACTGCCTTTACTTCCAGCTGTGGAGTGAGACAGGGAAAAAGGGCCATTGATGTCTCTGAGCCACAGCAACATCCAAGGAGCAGCCCCGATTCAGTCTTCCACTTTTAACATGGTTGCCAGAACCACAACTCAGTATGACTGCTTTCTTGATCACAGCCCTAAACCCTGGCTACAGAGCTAGTCCCAGCCCTCCTCATGGCAGCTAAAGAAAAAAGTGGAGCTACGTACTAGGTCGAAGCGTGGGGAGGGAACAGTACTGGTCCAACCAAGCGAGAGATGTATGGGTAAGGCTGTCCATACTAGCTGTGGAGACCATGCCATTGAAGGACTCAAAGAGAGGCCGAATGATGATGCTGAACTGAATGGGCACAACAGTTAAGGACCAGACCTTCACTTACACAACCAGGCACGGCAGCCCCCATGTCCTGCCCTTCCCCCACAAAGGCTGGTCTCACCTTTTCCCCCTTGTTCCCCACTGGCTCCTTGGGAAATGACACTGCTGGGGTGTAGAGCTGGTTCCACCCTGTAGGCAGCACACAGCCGTTGCTTCAGCTGCCAGAAGCAGGGCCATCCCTAGGGCCTTGTGCTTTGCCTCACATGGACACCCTATCGGTGCTACACCCTGGCTCATCTGAGATGAACCAAGTAGGATTGCTAGATAGTCTTTAGACCAGTATCAGGGCATGGGGGCTACAGAGGGTGAGGACAGCAGGAGCTGGAGCATTCAGGGAAGATCTGGGGACTGACACAGGGAAGAGAACCTGGGTTTCCCATGTGAGAGGGTATGAATGTGCCTGGCACAGAAGCCATGGACTCAGAGCCATGGACTAAGCTCCAGAACAGGCCTGGGGTCCTGGCATCTCAGCACGAGGCAGCAGCTGGAGCTGTGGAAGTCCCAGCCAGGTGTGTCTTCCCCCTAGGAGCTGACGGAAGAGAGAAGGGGCAGGAGGGAGAGGTCTGCCTCCACGATGTGCTATATCACAGTGGAGACTTCTCTGCCCCCTCCCTAAAGGCTTCCGCACATTTTCTGCAGGGCCCCCGTATTTGGAGAGTGGGTGGCGGGTGTGCAGTGCTTGTGCAAGGGAAGGGGCAGGAGCTTGTCTCTGAAGGATACAATCCAGAACTTCCAGTTCTGCAGGGTGGAGGAGCGGACATACTCATCAAACATGCTGCGCATCTGGTCAAAGCGCTGGCGGGTGATGGGCACCCCTGTGGCAGGCAGCTGCTGCTGGCACAGGCTGCAAGGACACAAGAAGTTGTTGTCTTGGTTGATGGGCACTCACAAGGGGGGTCAGCACTGAGGCTGAGGGTGGCCCTGCCCTGCTCTTCCCAAAGCTGTTGGGGGATGAGCCTCAGGTGTAGCCTGTGTCAGACATGCAGGGTTCCAGGGCTGGAGAAGGGGAGCCATTGATGTCTGCACCCCTCCTGTTCAACAGCAGCAGAGCAAAACCATTTAGGACAGGAAGCAGTCTTTCAGCTGAGATGGGTCAATCAAAAGGTAGGACCTGCAGCAGCACAGAACTCCCTGGCACCACGCAGGGCCCTAAGGGCAGCACTAGGGCAGAAGGGAAAGTGTCCCTGACTGAGCAATCAGCCCCCGACAATGCACTTGGCTTTGTAGCTCTCCCATTCAACGTGCTGATCAAGCCTGACTCTAGTAGCTCAGGACATCTGATACTACATCCTCTGCCTTGTTGTGGTTACTGCCCTGCCCTCCCCTGTCCTGTTCTCCTACTTGATTGCAGCATTGAGCTCCTCGATCTGCTCTCGTAGCCGCTGTGCCTCGTCCTGCAGGGCAGCCCTCTCTTGTTGCAGTTTGCAGATATACTCCGCCGTCTTCTGCAGTGTAGTGGCCTTGCTGACCTGTGAAGCCAGGCAGGGGACTAAGTGATGGGGATATTCATAAGCCCTTTCCACTGTCATGTTGTTGGCAGGGTGAGCACCCACAGCCACCTGGGGTTGGTATGGCAGTGACACAGCTGTAGAAGCCAAGGGCCTGAGTGGGGCTGGTTGGCCAGTGCACCCTTTGTGTCCCTGCTGTACATAAAATCATGTGTCCCAGTACCAGGCTGTGGTCCTGCTCTACTGCAGAAAGCCCACAAGCCAGGCAGACTACAAGCCCCCAACCAAACCTATAGCTTTCTCTTCCATGCCAATCCTTGAAGAGCTGCATGTTTGCCAAGGCCACGGCCGTACAGCCTGAGGCCTGAGACACAATGCCATTTCAGAGGCCTTTGGCCAGAGCCCAGGAACTGCTGTCTCCTCTTCAGCCCACACAACAAACAGCTAGGTTACAGACACATGGTGTTTGGGGCCCAGCCCCAGCTCCATACCCCTTTGAATATCCACAGGGGCACCAGGCACAGCACTCCAGACCTGTCCAGCGAGGCCAGAGCCAAGTGACACTGGGGATCCCACCCCAGGGGAAGCTCTGGGGAACTGAGGCACAGCTTTCCGTGGATGTTCGCTTCCCTTTGCATGGCAGCTGCTGCTAGAGAGCTGCCAGTACTTGCCCCGGTATCCGCTCTGGCCCTGCTCACTCACCTTGATGCTGGGCTGGGCACTTAGGGTGCTCACCAGGCTGTGCAGTGTGTCAAAGCCCAGCTTGATGTTGAAGCGTCTCTTCTGCTCAGCAGAGATGTGTGTGATACGGCGGCTCTCAGTCTGCAGGACAAGGTCAGGGTCATGCACCATGCAGGGAGGGTGAGGTGTCTTCCTGCTTGGAGACAGGTTCAGGACAGGCCCACCACCATCACAGTTGGGGAGGGGTGATGGGACAGGTATGGGAGTGGGAAGACAACAGGGCAGGAGTGTGACTCCTGTTTCCTACTGGGGCCAGCAGCCTGGTGAACACCATACCCATCCATACCTTGCTAGACTCTGGCCTACTCCGGCTGGGCATACTGTGATGTGGTAAGATCCCAGGGCTCAGTCCTGCAGTCAGCACTGGGGAGGCTCGCCCAGGCTTTGGCCAGTCACTGCCTGCAAAATGAAATGAGAAACTCTTGGAAGGCTCCTGGGAGCCAGGGGCTGAGGAGGCAGCAGCATGTGGGACTGGGACTGGGGCAGACTAGGAGGATTATTGCCCACATAGGACCAGTTATTGCATGCAGGGCCTTTTCGCCCCTTTGCAATCAAGTGAGAATGAGGCAGCAAGCCCAGCTCTGTCACTGAAGCAGAAGGACAGTCACTGATAATGCCAGGACTGCTGAGAAAGGCACCACCTTCTCAGAAAGCAATGCATGGAGCATGGTTGACCTTGGGGTCATGGGCATTCCCTCTAGGCCAGGGAGAAATCTGTTCTCTAGAGCTCAGTTCATGCCAAGTATGTGCCTTGGCAGTGCTAGTCTCATCCAGATAATGGTCTAACTGATGCTGAACCTCACAAAAGGTCAGTGCCTCAGTAATGGTCAGCAGCAGTGAGCCCCACAGGCTGGACAGGACATCATAGGAATGGAGTCATCTTTTTCCTTCAAAGGCAATACAAGGGCTGGTAGGGGGGAGAGGGAGGGAACCCTATCAGCTGGTTCTCAGGTGTGTGACACCAGCATCCAGCTCAACTCAGGATCTGAGGATCCCTTCTCTGTGGAAGATTTCCCATCTGAAAGGCTGTTCACTCTGATCATAGAAGAGGTATAAGAGACTCACCACATGCCATTGTGGGGGACAGTCGCTCTGCCTTGGGGATGAGCAGGGAGCCTGCCTGGGCACCAGCCAGTGTGACAGGGACAGATTGGGAGGGACTGGAGCCTGGAGAAAGACCTGGACTCAGCTGGACCATTCTGGACAGGAAGCTAGTGGGGCCTTCAGAAATGGCAGCTTGCTGCAAAGTGAAGCCAGGGAGAAAGAGCAATTTGAATGATCCATTTGGGGACCTGAGAAGAGTGCACTGCCCAAGAAGGCAGAGAGGGTGTGGGGGGCTGGGGCCTTACACCAATGCACAGGTGTTCATTTTTTTTTTTTTTTTTTTTTTTTTTTTGTAAAAATATATTTCTCTCTCTATATAGGGTTATATATATCTGTTCTCTAACCTATTACATCCCCAAAAGGTTAAACCGATCCTGTTACAGAAAACTGCACCCACGCACCCGTACAAAGGCCCGCTGGATATGCTCTCAAGTGTGGACCGTAGCCCAGCTCTAACAGACAGGTAGACCCAGGCCCTGTCCCTCCAGAAGCCTGTAGTGAAACTACACCAAGCCATAAAGGGCAAATGGAAGAGAAAGAGCCCCAACCTTCCCAGAAGGTATCAGCAACACTGTACAAGTACAGTGGCTGGACATGGACCAGGCCAAGATCTCCTTCTCAGAGAGCTGGTTGCTGTTGCTGAAGCACTCCCCAAGGAAGGCAGCCCATGAAGGACTTCTGCACGGCCAAGGGGACCTGTTTGCTGGCAATGGGCAGGACAGCAGGAACAGGGGGTTTCTTTTACCTGATCAAATGCTCCTCCTTTTAAAATATAGGATGTAAAAAGCACCATGAACTCAACATGCTTTGCTGATGCCAAGCCCTCCCCTGACAGACCCCACTAGTCCAGGCCAGTGCCCCCACAAGCTCTGCCAATGCCCAGCCCTACCCTGACAGACCCTCTATTCCAGGCCAGTAGTCCCATATCTCCAACCTTTTCCCATGCACTCCACCATATGCCAGCCCCAAGTCCCTTCCCCTCAGCTGTGCTGACTGTGCACAACTGAGATACATGACCTACATCCCTGCACCTGCTGTAAGGTGACTTGGCCCTGAGCTCATACCGGTGACGTGGGGATGAGCCCAGAGCTGGAAGTGCATGACGGGTCCAGAGCTGGCTCTTGTTTAGCTGCAAGAGAGAAAGGAGCAGGAGAGAAGGATGTCGCATGATGGCAGAGCCAGGTTGATACTCAAATGACCTCCCCCTCAACAGCGCAAGCAGCAAGTACAGCCCCCAGCACAGGCTGCCTGCTGCTCCAGTGCTCCTGGTAACCAGGCTGTTGGCTCAGGTCAGACTCTGACCTCACCCCCTGTGTGGAGGCTCCCCTGTATCTCACACAGAACAGCCCCCAATGGCCCCAACTCCAGTAAGATTCAATCATGTGACTTTAGCCTGTGAGTCTGCAGAGCTGGGTGATATGCCCCCCTGCCCACAGCTGTGCCCTGTGGGCTAGGGCTGGGTTGGAAACAGGGTTTAGTGCTGTTTCCTTGCAAACTAGTAAGGGGCAGGTACTGAATTGTAACCCTCTGGACTGTTATTCGGAAGAGGTGAGGACACCTACTCATAGTACACTATAGGATGGGAACATTTGGAGGAGGGATATGAGGAACCTCTCCTGCCAGCCAAGGGTTAGGCAGTACTAAGGGACTGCTGTGCCTGCCCTGCAGCTCCTGACCATGGCACAGTTCTCTTGGACTATTGACTGGTTCTCCTATTTCTGAACCATAGCTGGTCAGCAGCCACCCTGCCACCTCTGGGCCCCTTGCCTTCACCACCTGCTGAGCCAGAGACAAATGGGAACCCTTGCAGAAACAGGACATGGCAAAACAGCCCCTCAGCCCATACCTGCAGTGAGGAGCTGGGTCAGGCAGGGGTTGGGTGCTGTCAGGAGCGGAGGCACTGGGAGCGCTGTGGCTTTCTTTGTCTTGGTGTTCTCTGGCTTCCCCTTTAGCTGGTTGCCCCCACTCTGGGCCTGCCCCTTGTGGGGGGCAAACCTGGGGCCACTCAGCATCACAGGGGGAAGATGCGGGGCACTGGACAGAGTGGAGTATCCTGTGGGCAGGAGATCCATGGTGTAGCCTAGGCCTGGTCCATGCTGAGTGAAGCATGGCACGGAGAGAGATGAGGATGGGTGGGGGATGAGCGAGGAGCCACCAGTGGAGCCAGAGTAATGGAACTTGGACCTTGGTGTTGACGCAGGCGGGTACAGGGGGTCGTGGCCCAGCAGAGGTGCATGGAGTGGGGATGCTGGGGTGGAGTAGGGAGGGCTGAAGGGCTCCATGCTGAGGCACTTGCTGGGGAACCCGTACTGGAACAGGGGTTTAGGCTTGAGGTCAGTGCCCAGGCTGCTGTGACTCCCGCTGGAGGAATCCAGGGGCAGAGGTGCTGGATGGAAGTTGGAGCTGAGGAAGGAGCTGTGCAGGCCGAGCTGGGAGGTGCAGTTGCTGCTGGACTGCAAGGGACAGAGAGAGACAGATTACAGAGCACTCACTCCCCAAGGATGAATCAAACTGGGACCACCACGGTAGGGGAGAAAGACAATGAGACAGAGATGGAGCCCACTGTATGGCAGCAAGGTATCTCATAGCATTGCCATAGAAAGTTGTCATGGAACCCAAGCAGATGTGGGCAGATGTAGTCAGTCCCCCAGCAGAACAACCACAGGGGCAGGGGAAGTAGAGCAGACATACCCTGGAGATTTTTAAAAAAACATCTTGAGGCACACTGTGCTGGGCTCATCTGACCCCATCAGTCTTTCCTGCCCAAGTGCAGGGGGGCTGGGCCTGATGATCTTGTGAGGTCCCTTCCAGCCCCTAACATCTAACATCTATATGCTACCTTCCCCCCTCCCCTCCAAACGCTTGCTCACCTGGAGAAGGCCATTGGGTGAGATGGGGGCATCCACATGGCTGGCAGGCAGGACCCTGGGGGGCATCATCATGTTGGCATTGGTGGTAGCCAGAGCACTGCTGCTGCTGTACAGAGTTTCACCAATTGTTGTAAAGCAAGGCTGTTCCTGGTAGCCCAGCTGCATCTGCGAAAGCAGTGGGCGGTGGCTAGAGAAGAGATCTGCAGAGCAGGACAGAGATAGTAACACAGCTCCAGCAGCAGCCCTTGCCCAGGCCAGCAGGGACACTTGGGCAGGCACAGGCTTTGCCTTCAGAGCTCTGGCCAGGCCAGACTAATGGGCACCCAGCATGATAGTCTGCCAAGGTAGCGGCCAATCCCTGGGGCTTCAGAAGTTGTCAGGGAAAACTTGTCACACACCTGGTTTGCTGTGCAGGGACCTGCATGGAGAAGACTCATTCATGTGGCCTCCTGCCATATGCATGAGTCTTTCTGAGCCCACCATGGTGACTAGGCACCCTGGACCATTCCCTTATTGTCACCTCATTGCCTTGGACAGGGGACTGCCAGCCTGGTTCCTGTCACCCATTCCAGGTATCCTTTTCAAACAGAGAAGCAGCCTCTTCCCTGAGAGGGACCAACCCATCCCATGGCAGAGGGTGGGAGATCCAGTGGCCTCTTTGGGCATGGAGGAGGCTGAAGATGGCTGCAAGTTTGGGGCTAGGATGTGCTGGGGAGACAGTGACTTGCTCACTAACGGTTCTGGAGCTAGCTGGGACTAAGGGGCCGCTGGGTCTCATGCTTGGAGCTAAGCAGCAGGGACCTTCTCTGTCCATCTTGGGCTTCGGAGCGCAGGGCAGTGGAACGAGATGAGAGGCTCCCAGCTCTGTGCTGTGTGGCGGCAGCAATTGTGAAATGCTGGAGTTTCTCATGCAAAAAGGAAAGGGGCAGCTCCCTGCAGCCTGTGGGCTGTGGGCCCAGCCACACTGCACACAGGGAGAGTGACAGGAAAATCCTCCCTGCCCTTGGAACAGCTACTGCTGAAAGCAGGCCATGACCCTCCTTTCCCCTTTCACCTGCTTTGGGGCGAGGTCAGACTGTGATTCATAGATTCATAGATTGTAGAGTCAGAAGGGACCACGAACGATCATCATGTCTGACCCCCTGCCCCAGGCAGGAAAGAGGGCCGAGGTCAAACGACCCCAGCCAGGTGACTATCTAGCCTCCTCTTGAAGCCCTCCAAGTTAGGTGATAGCACCACCTCTCTTGGCAGCCCGTTCCAGATTCTGGCCACCCTTACTGTGAAAAATTTCTTCCTAATGTCTAACCTGAATCTACTCTCCACTAGTTTGTACCCATTATTCAAACTAGTGGAATAATGTGGCACCACCTATTCCCCCACTCCAGCCTGCATTGGCCCGGGAGCCCTATGGGTTGGAAAAGACATTTCACCCAGCTCTGCAGCCCCACCAGCTGGTATGGAAGGGCTGACATGGGGCCAGTATGTACAGGGTGGGGTGTCACAAGCCAAATGGGCCTTGGAGGCCCTGGAGCATTAGTCTCCCCCAGCTCAGCTGTTCAGCTTCCCCATGCTGGGTGGGCTGTTAACTCCTGCAGGGCATTCCCATTGCACCTGTTTCCTTGTAGCCCCCGTGAAGCCCCTAGCATGAGTGCAGTAGGGGCTCAGTTAATGCATCGGCCAGCCCCAGCAGGTGCCTGGATAGGCCCTTATTTTCATTTCAGGCTGCCAGTGCCCCCACAGTCGCCCCCAAGTTCTCCCTTACGTGTGGCCTGTGGCTAACCACATCCTATGGTCTTCCCGAAGCCAAGCCCCGTGACCCTGCCATGACTCCACTCTCCCTTCCTGTCCCCTTCCCACAACCCTGCTTCTTCCGCAGCCACAGACAGGCCATGGCACAAAATGCTGGCCTGACAATTTTCGGCCAGCCACCTCCCTGGGGGAAGCGAGCTTCAACCCAGCCACTTCAACCCTCCCTTCCGGCCAGTGTGTAGAGCTCCTTGTGACTGTACAGTAAGCCGTCTGAGAAGCCACCAAGCCTGGCTGATCTTGCCACAGTCACAGCCTTTTGGGAAGGGGCATGCAGCAGGTCTTTGCCCACAACTGCTGTGCCACCTGCCCCTCTGAGAGGCTTCACTGAAGGTAGGGTACAGGAGTGGGAGCTTGGAATGAGTTAGCCTGGATGCACACACTCAGCTGAGGGTGTCACAAGGCCTTCAGTGGTGAGTTGTGGTCTAGCGCAGTAGTTCCCAAACTCTGACAGATTGCACACGGCTAATTTAAAACGATGCAACCTTTAGTACCACCAGCAAATTGTTCAGTTCAACCTTAAGTACCACCAGCAAATTGTTGTCCTATAAGTGAAATATAATAAATCTGTCAATGTGTATCACAGACAGGTTGTCTGTGTACGATGGGTGGTACCCATATCACAGATTGGAAACCGCTGGTGGTATTTCCTGGAAGGAAGGTGGTCTCAAACCATGTAGGAACCTATGAGTATAAGGACAGTGAGCTGCATACAAGGGGTCACTCAGGGCGCATGCACACGTTGCTCTAGCAGTGGTAAGGAGTCTCAATCTGATTAGTCTCCCTGGAAAGGGGTTTGTCGTGCTGGGACAGTAATACAGCCCATGCCTCAGTGCTATAGATGAAGTCACTGCCATCCCAGGAACTGACTGACAGCTGGTATGGCCCACAGCCAATGCTTCACCAACAAGGGGCTTCCTTCCCCCCTTCCCCATACACTGACAGCCACCACCATCTCTGGCATTCAGTCCATAGGAAACAAGTGCATGTGCCCCAGAGCAGAGAGAGTGCAGGGAGCCTACAGGGCCTGTCTGCTAGTCCTCTGCTTTTCTTTCCACTGTTCAGTGAGGGCTGGTGAAAGCAATGGGCTCTTAGAGTGAGCCCTTCACCAGGAGCCTGAACTCTGCTCGTTCCAGCCCCATCATCCTGGGCAAGTGCATGGCCACATGGACCTCCTCTCACCCCAGAGGCCAAATCTGAGAGAACCCCACCCAGGGCACTGTGTTACCAGATGTGCAAGAATGACTGCACTAAGGGACTGAGGATCTGTCTGTCCTGGTTTCAGCCAGCTCCACACAGGAGCAAATCCTACCACTAGCTTGCCCTGCTCAGCCCCACTGATTGATCCTTGTATGTCCATGGGGAATCCCTTAGAGAAGTAAGTCCAGGTCTCTACGGGCCAGACTAGCCAAAGAGCTCAGGAACTAGCACCTCCCGCTGCAAAACAACTGAGTAAATATTCTTGGAGGTTCAGTGGCTGACGTGAGGACCCAGCAGCTGAGCCCTGTTGAAAAGCAGCCTGTGGTGCTGAGAGGGCTATAAAAACAATCCCACTCTCGAGTACCTGGTGTCACCGAGCAGAGGCAGCTCCCCTCACCCTGAAATCTCCTCGCTTGCAGCGAGCCTGAGGGAATAGGGCCATCAGGGGCAGCAAGCTTGCATGATGCAAAAGAAAATTATTCCCTTATTACAATAACAGGTAACCCCTGGAGGCCCCACAGCTCCACACTCCCCATGTTTAAAGCCACCCGATCCTAGCCTTAGGAGGCCTCCCTTTCGCCCTGCAGTGTGTGACATTAGCTCTAAAAATATTAATTCTTGCTCTGCCCTGGGGCTATTTGCATCTGTGCTAGGTGAGTGCACATCTCCCAGGCTGGCTATTTTAGTTAGTATTTTATACCCAGGGGGCAAAGAGGTGAAAATAACTCCCAAGGGCCAGACGTCTTTTGTTTTATAATATATTTTGAGTTCCAGGTCAAATTAGCCAAATCAGCTCCAAATCATATTGATTAAGCAAACACCATGTATGGTGCTACAACCAGTGAGCATCCTCCATCCCAGACCTCTCACCCTGGGACTTCAGGTGTTCCCAAATCCATTGGCAGTCATCTTACATGCAGGCCCAAGCCTGGAGGTCTTGGGATTCAGATGCCCTCAGATACTACAGGCAAGGTACGGCAGGAACAATCACCCAGTTGTCCCAGCAGCTGCCTTCTAGCCATCTCTGGTACACTCAGCCATGCTTCTCCACACTTTGGGATACATTTGGGCTGGCCTGTTTTGTTAATCAGTGCACTACATCTCAGCCATAAAAAGTGCTAAGCACATTCTTCACCCACAGAGCAAACCTCTCCACCTGCACTGCACTCTGTGAAGGGCCCAGGCTGTTGGCATCACAGGGCTCTGCATGTATTTATAGGCATTCCTATGGTGCTCAGCACTGCAGATTCGATTCCTCTTGTGGCCTTTCCCACTGCACTGTAGAGACTGGCAGTGAGCACTGACTGCCCAGTTGCTCCCTTGCGTGTAGGCTGTAAGCTCTGGGGTACCCTGCACGCTCCCTATCTTGACCAGTCCAATGACACCTGTCTGTCTGCACCGCACAGACCTCCTCCCTGGGTCCTGGCACAGGGCTCATGGCACCAGCTCCACAATGGTGACCCCAGCCAGCCCGAGCTGGGGATTGAGCTCAAAGAAGTTCATGCTGGCAGTGCGCACCCAAGCTCTCAAGTATTTTGTCCTTGTGGGAAGGGCTCTGGGCTGTCCTCAGGAGGACACTGGGGCAGTAACATACTGTGGGGGTGCAGCTCCTCTATCGTCCACCTTGCTCCCAAATTGAAGACACTTCATTGTCACCTCCGGGCATTAGAAAGCCACTTCCCAAACCCTGGGGGATGGCGATGCTGTCCTTTGGGCAGTGACTAGCTTAACCTAGTCCCTGGGGTAAAGAGCAGTGTCCTACCTGACGCAGGGTGCCAGCAGCACTCCGAAACCAGGCCCAGCTGCTCCCTTGCATCTGCCATCAGGACTTCTCCATCTGGCTCAGACTCCTCACACACACAAACACACAAAGGGCACAAAGTGGTTCCTTATTTGGGATTGGCTTCTGCTCTTTGACTGACAGGGGGAAGACAACATGACACAGCCCATGTCATCATGGACTCAAGCGTCAGGTCTCTGTCTTGGGGTTTTCTGGCAGCAGAGAAGAACTGACTCAGCTGACATTAGTGATGGGGTCAACAAGACCCTTTGGGCCTCAGCACTCATGTCCAAGCCTGCTCACAGCCATTTCTCCAAACATCATGGCAGACAGTATGTTTCTGTCTTCCATCCTGGGAAGGCATCCTCCAGAGCATCCAGAAACCAGCAAGCACTATCTTTTTCAGTGGAGCCTAGCTCTTAGTCATCTAAGCCAACCAGACAGACTATCAAGTGTGTTCATACCCAGCAGATGCTGTGGAGAATGGGACCGCTCCAGCCCTCCTGGAAACAATTTTGTTGCACATACATGGGGCTCAGTTGCTTTCAGAGGCTCTGCTCCTACTTCACACAATCTTTGGGGCAAGGCTCAGTATAATAATCAACCTACTTGCATGCACTGAGCAATTTCCTACAATACCACTATATACTCCTCAAGTCCTCCCAGACCCTGGAGCCCTGGTCAAGTAAGAGCTGCCTCTCCAGACCCCCAAAAGCTCATTTATGCTTCTTGACAGAAGAATATTTTTCTCTGTGGCTGTGGTCAGCAGATATACTTCAGCTTTTGACAGCCTCTGTACAAAAGAGGCAGCAGCACAAGCCCAGGGAGAGACACAAGCAACTGAGATGAACTGCTCCTTCAGGTCCAGACTTGCTGACTGGTCACCCCTTCCATCCAGCACACCCTATTCCCACTGGGAGGCCTGGGAAGCAGGGGTTCCCAGGCATTTCCAGAGTGTGGACTATTGTAATAGAAGAGCATCCCATGGAGCCCTCACTTCCCACCTTCCCCACCGGGGCAGTCTCATAGTACTGATGCAGAAACCACATCAATTACACACATGGAAGAGGGAAGGGAGGTTTTGCTTCACTTTTTCTAGCCACTAAATTGCCTTAAGAGCTGTCATGTTCCAGCAGGCCATGATGTGCATGTGTGGCACACAGCTGAGCAATGGCTGTGGCAGGAAGAACCAGCTGAGGGGTCACGCTTGTGGGAGAGGGGGTGATTCTTTCACAGAAAACATTGAGTTTTTGCAAAAGGTTTGGGCTGAAAACCAACATATTTTGGTTCAAGCTGGCACCAAGGTGTCTCACGGGGATGGTGGTTTGGGATCCTATGGCTCTATTGGCAGGCCCACAGCTGCACTGTGCCCATCATTCTCCTCTCAGGGTAAGGAAAGGTTGGTGGCCAGAGCTGTGGCCTTCTGTTCCTTGAGAGATGCATTCCAGGCAAAGGGACAACAGAGTCACGAAGCCTCAGGGCTGCCACTCCCAGGAAGGACTGGAGCACCATTTTGAACATCATCTTAGTATTTGTTGTGCAAAACAGACAGTTTCAGGGAAAATCCCATTTCCTCCAAAACCCACTGAAAATAGTTTCAGCAGAAAATTGTTGAGCAGCCCTAGCTCCCAGCCGATCTGACCATAGCTACCCCCAGCAGGGATCCCAATAGGAAACAACGCTGAAGTACAGGCTGTGCCTACTCTTAACTATCCTGGCATCCCTTGCTCAGGGGCACTGTAAAGAGTGAATTTGGGGGAGTTTTCTTTGATGAGGTCTCCGTGAGCCTCCCTCCGGTATCTCCAGCCAGTGGCAGTGCTGTTGGGCATGGTGGAAGAAGGCAGACACTTCAGGGCTTCCTTAGTGTTCTTATCCCCTTGCGGTCCACCTCATCCAGAGAGTGCCCCGAACTGCACCTGCAAGCAAGGGCAAATCTGCTGCCCCCACCTCAGTCTTCTGCCAGCATCTGGTCTTGCATCATCCAGCAGTCCGATGATGACAGATCACTTGTTTCCTCTGAAGGAGGAAAATAGGAAGTGGATACTGGCAGCCGAAATCCAAGAGGCCCAGTCCAACCAGCTCCTACAGCAGCCTTCGCCAGCCATGGTCAGCTCTAAGCTCACATGGAGCACAGAGAGCCTCCTGCAGGCACATGTTCTGGAGGTGTCCCCACCATTCAACTAGGAGGGGACTCCCAGCTGGCGGAGCTCAGTGTGGGGATGCCACATGTTGCTTGGCCCAGGACACAGCAGGCTACAGGGCAGTATAGATGGAACCAGGCTGAGTTATTCCTGCTTTTGCCCTTTTTCCTCCCTCCCTTCCCTCAGCCCCTTCACTCAGTGTTTCCCAGGACATTTCTACACAGATGTGACTAGTTTGAACCTAGATAGCTCAGGGATCAGTTGGAGTCTGGCCTCAGCAGCTCCGAGCATGCGTATCTTTGCTCTACACTGCAGCCACTACTGCCATTACAGCCCAGACATACCCACCTTGTCCCTGCCCCTCAGTATGGTCAGTGCCATCCAAGTGCAGACCCTTCCCTCCTGGCCCATTGCTAGTTTTGGTGTATCCTTCATCCCAGTTCTTTCTCTCTTTTCCCTCCCACCTTTTTCAGCTCCCCCTTTCACCAGGCTCTCACTCTGAGGCTCTTCCCATCTCCTCATTGCCCCCAGCACTGCAGGTTCTCTCCTTCACCTGACCCACAGTCAGGCCACACTCCTTGTGAAGAGAGGAGGCCTAAGGCACATATTTACATGCCCCCTGGATGGGGCAGCTGATGCTTCCTACCCTTCTTTGCCCCTCTGCTTTCTGGCTGGACTCATAGAAAGGCTGCTTCTACTCCAGAGCATGTAGCATGAGCACTGCGGGGCAGGGGCCAGCACTCATTGTTGCCCTATAGACCAGCCTGGTCAAGCCTTGTATCCTCCCTCCTCCCCCCAATACAGGCTGGGGGTGAGCTGCTTTAGGGATCCAGAGTTTTATGGCACCGAGTGGATTCATCCCTTCTCTCTCTCTCTCTCAGCAGAAACAGCCCAGTGAGCTGGAAACTCTGTTGAGGGGTATGTTAAACTGGCAGCACTGGGCAGGAAGGCATTGCCCAGGATGGGGAGGAACAGCGTCTGGGACTGGGAACCCACCTTAAAGCTACTAGGTGGTGCCAAACAGCTCTCCCCACCCATGTATCCAGGACCAGCTCCCACAGGGGCCTTGGGAGCTGTCATCATCATTGCAGCTCTGCTTCCCTTCCTATCAGACTTAATGGAGAAGCCATTACAGAGCTCCCTATCTGCTTGGGCACTGAGCCATTCGTGGGTAATCAGTGAGATCTATGTTCCCTAAGGAACCCTCATTCCACAAGATCAGGTCCTTCTGGGGTGTCTATTCCTCCCTGGCCAAAGAGGCAGACACAGGGGCTGCTCTAAAGGCCAAGGAGCGTAGGGGCTGCATACCCTGGAGTACTCTACGGGCCATAAAGGTGAAGATGACTTTCCCCCAGCCGCCTCCTGCCCCCATCCCACTTGCTGAGTCCACCAGTACAGTGGAAAGTTGCTCCCTTCCCCTAGAGATTTCCTCTTTCTTGTGGGGAGAGTTTTCCTTCCTCTGTCTGCAGCCAAACCCTCTTGTGGTTTCACATTCCTGTAAAGAAGGCTACATTTGGAGAAGGTTGGTTTGCACAAGCCCTGCCTTGAGCACCCCCCTCCACTCCATCAACTCACCTCCAGAGGTCTGCCCCACAGACCCTCCACCGCCCTCCCCAGAAGCTTTCCTCCTCTGGGCCTGCTTTGGGCCCTAACCCTTCCCTGCATACCTGGGCTGCTGCCTGTCTGTCTTTGCTCCTGTTGGACCCTCCTCCCAGATTAGCATCTGTACATTTCAGCTGTATACCAGTTCTTCCTCCTTCAGTTCATTACTGTTACAAGCCAGGGGCCCCTGCAGCACCCGCAAGCTCTGCACAGCACCATACAGCCCTTCGTGTCAGCCAACTCTGCTTCAGGCCACAGGGAAGGACTCAATTCCAGCCCACTTGGGGTTGCATTGGGAGCTGTGCCCATGGGACTGCTTTCCCCATCCATGCTCCACACATCCAGGTTACACACCAGCATTATCAGCTCCAGTGGCTGCAGCCAGGCCTGGTTCCTACCTGAGATTTCCATGAAATCATCCAGATTGGGCTGCAGTGGGGTCAAGCCAGGCTGGATCATGTCAGCATTGCCAGTGTAGGCTGCAAAAGGGCAGAGCCAAACCATCACTTCTTGAGTTCCCCTGGCCCTGTTCCAGTTCCCAGGGCTCCCCCTTCAACTCCATCTGCTTCTAGTGTCCCTGGCTTGCTCCTGCAAGCTCCTTAGTCTTGCCAGATCCCTGTGCCCCACACCTGTTATCTGGCTCTCACGGAAGAGTGCTGGCATGAGGCCTCTGATGAGACCTTGTGCCATTAGACAATGAAAAAGGAGCATCCTAGGCCCTTTCTGGAGAGACCTGTCTGTTCTGTTGCCAGCACTGGGTAGACTCCACTCCCATGCCCAGGATCATCTAGGTATAATCCCACCTGTCCCTTTACCCCTACACACTGGAGCTCTCAGAGGCCTGAGGCTTCCATCTGCTCCATAAGGAAAGGGGCACTTCTCCACCCTGGGGGACTGATGCCCGCTCCCTGCTGGTTGAGGACGTGGGAGGGCACAGGAGGGGTCAATAGATGCCCTGTCTCCTGGCAGGTGAGGAAGTGGCAGGACGTCCTAGGTAAGGAGGGGTCCAGGAATGGAGAGTGAAGAGCAGATCTGAAGGAGGGTACATTAATATATTAATAACCAGAACTTCTCATCCACAAATCAGAAAGTGAGTTGGGCCAGCATCAGCTCAGAGCAGAAGCAGCCAAGAAGGGACAAGGGACATAGAAGGGCACAAGCTGATTGAATGCTAGGCTCAGGCAACTGGTCCTCACTGACTCTGGGGGGGGAGCTAAAAAGGGGCTAAGAGCATAACAGCAATTATAACATGGGCCTAGGTTGGCACCCCTGGGGCCCTCAGCCCTCAGTGAGTATCACTGAGGGAACAGTGGTCTGAGGCAAAGTACCGTCCTCTGGGAGCATCTGGTGGGAGCTGGGGGTCTGTGTCATGGTGAAGAGTGTGTCCGAGATGTCCGAGAGAAAGCTGTCCAGGTCAAAGTGCTGCCGCCCTTCAGCCTCCTCCTCTTCATCCCCCAGCAGCATGGGTACCACATTGGAGAATAGCTGGTTGCACCATTTCTCTGTTGGCTTCCAGGCACCCTCATCCTGCACAAGAGACAGTTGGTCAAAGGGCACCTGGATACCTCTCCCCAGATACGCCTCATGCTTCCTGGTGCCCTTATTGTGCTGGGGGGCTGGTGCTGCTGATTTTAAGATAAGGTGTGAATGTGTTCTCCCTGTACCTTCTGGCAAGCAGGGTGTGCCAGGAAACACAATACAGCAGTGGTCACCAACCGGTGGATCTGATCCATCGGTAGATCTCGGAGCCTCTTGGTGTTGATCTGAGGCTGGGATGGGGGGCTGAGTGCCTGCATGCATGCACACGCACACCCCAGCCCAGCAGGTCAGTCCATGAAGAAGAGAAGGGGTGGGAGCTAGATCAAGACCCCTGCAGTGAGGGACAGTGCCGCAGGGGCAGAAGCAGGGGTAAATTGAATAGGGCCCTGGCCAGGTGGGACTTACCTGCTGGGGAGGCATACCCCCAAATAATTTTTTCTCCCTCTGCCTTGATCTGCCCCCCCGTCCTTTTCCTCCCCACAGACTTACCTGCTGGGCAGAGGGGCAGGGGGTAGTGTGGTGCATGGTAGGTCTTGGGTTGCTTTTAATTATTTTATACATATATATTAGGGCTGTGCAAAACGGCACCGTTCCGTTTCAACTTACGTTTCGACATTTCTATGGAACAGCATTTCATTTCAAATTTCGTTTCGATTCAAAACTGTTGTTCTGGTTCGTTTTGTCGAAACAGTTTCACTGTTTTGATGCTGTCTCGACGTTTTGCCCATAGGCTATAATAGGGGAGCTCAAAACAGCCTATAACTTTGTCATTTCTGGCCTGACTTGGATGAAACTTGCAGGAATGGTAGCCCCTTCTGAGGGCATGAAGCCTGCCAAGTTTCAAGGAGATAGGTTTAGGGATTTGGGGGAAACAGCACCTCAAGCTGTGGACAAGTAAAACTCTTGACATTGGTGACACAGAGTGCGTGTGTTAAGGCGCAGCAGAGTGAAAGCTGCAGGGATGGTGGCCCCTGCTGAGGCCATGAAGCCTGTCAGCTGTCAAGGAGATAGGTGCAGGGCTTCTGGGGCCCTACACCTCTCTGATCACAGGCAAAACTCATGACATGGGTGCTTGTGGGACTGCATCGGTCTTAGGGCACAGGGGGGTGAAAACTGCTAGGCCCTGTTGCAACCACAAAGCCTGCCAGCTGTCAAGGAGATAGGTGCAGGGGGAGTCTGGGTTCTGGGGCCCTGCACCTCTAGCTGCTGACAGGCAAAACTCGTTACATGGGTGGGGGTGGGTGACACTGTGTGTGTGTTAAGGTGCACCCTCACTCAACTGATGCCAAGGCAGAAAGCAGGGCAGTTCAAACAATGCTGCCTTTTATGCAGCTTTTCCATCCCTCCCCCAGAGCACTGGGATTGGAAGAGGCCTCAGGGAAGGATGACAGTCACTGGCCAGCTACACAGTCAATAATGAGAGCAGTCCTTCCCCTCCTTCCCCCTCCCTCTCCTTACTTTAGTTTCTGTTTCCCTGCAGGCAAGCCCAGCTTGAGCTTCGAAACGGAAAACGTTTGGAAAATTTCGAAACGTTTCGACTTGCCTCGTTTCGTTTCAAGGCTGTTTCAAAGCTGTCTGTTTCGTTTTGATTTTGCTGTTTTGAGCTTGAAACAAGTCAAAACGAAACTGCCGGCGAAATTTCGTACAGCCCTAATATACATATATATACATATATACACAATGGAAAGTTTATGATAGAAGATGTGTGTATACACACACACACACACACACACACACACGTGTATATATATATGTGTGTGTGTGTGTATACACACATCTTCTATCATAAACTTTCCGTTGTGCCCTTAAACTGCATTAAGAAATTCGCACAACTGTTACAATAAATGCACCCACACCCCTGCGCCCCCATGCACCCACCCACTGCCCTTCCCTAACCCAACTGCAGTCCCTTAGTCCAAGCCCCGATTTGGGGCTTACATTCTCAGTTCATTCCCTGTCCTTGTTACTGTTGACGTTGCTGTTGCTTTTAAATGCCAAAGGTGATCTCCTACTTTAAAAAGTTGGAGATCACTGCAGTACAGGGTAGGAGCAGAGGGGTTGGACCCTCCATAAGCAAATCCCTCTGAGGACTTTCAGATGCCATTTTTCCACAGACCGAGTGAAGAGCAAGCAGGGAGACCAAGTGCCTAGTCTGCCCCTGTCCCCAGATCCCCCATGGATCTGTCTAGACTTCAAACCATTCCTAGAGGCAATCCCAGGAAGCTGGAGAAATGTGGTTTGAACATCCTGAACTTTAACCCTTTGTAACCCTGACATCGCTCCTCCAGAAAGCAAGGATCCAGCATCACCAATTAAAAGTTCAAAAGTCAAGAGCTAGATCCCCCTAAATCATGAGGCTGGCTGAACAATCATGAGATGATTCTAAATGTAATCGTCGGTAGGGACTGTTTGCCCCTTGTGGAATCGCATTTCCTAGCACTTCTCTGCAACCATAAGGCTACAAACTATTTTAAAAAATTAAACAAAGCTGAGCCTTGTACAATCCCTTGCTTCTGGGAGGGGGAGTTTTAAGAAGCCACCAGCTATTTCACAAATGATCAGTGATCAAATCATGGGAGTTGGTAACGCGGCAGATCTACAGCAAAGAGCCATTTCGCCCACTGCACCCCAGCCACCACTTCATATTCCTCCCTCCTGCACAGGCCAGTGCCACGGGACACTTACCTGCTTAGGACTGAAGAGCTCCCCCTCCCGGCTGGACTTTCGGAGCTGGAAGGAAACACTTCTATTAGGCCCTCCTCAGGGCTGGTGTGAACAGTACATGAATCATGCAGGGAGCACCCAGTTGGGCAGTGCATCCTAAGCAGCCTGCAGTGTGGGAATGCACCAGGGCAAGAGAGCCTTTGGGCCTCAGGTCTGCTGAGAGCCATCATGCAGCTAGATGGGGACTGAGCCCTCACCCTCATGATAAGCCCTTTGGTTACCCTCATCTCAGTGGTTAACCCCAGGCATTACCAATCATACTGTGATCCCAAGCCCCTCACACTGTGGAGTTGCATCATGATGTAATTCTTTATTTGTTCTTATCCTATAAGAGGGATTGATCCTTTCCCCTTGGATGCTAATGGCAAACTCCCATGGGCTCCAATGGGAACACAACTGGTATGCCTAGGGAATGGACGGGGACCATCACAGATCACTGCCACACCGTGCCCTCCTTTGGCAGCAGTTCTGGCTGTACTAGACCAAACACTGCAGCCAGGAAGCAGAAGGGAACAAGGCTTGTCCCCCAGCTCCTGCCAGCCGTACCACATCCAAGTGAGAGGGTCAGACAAATGGGCACAGTAACCCAACATGAGCACTGGGTGGCACCAGGGCTTCACACAGCACAAGGCAGTTTCTGGGGGAGCCATGGGGTAGTGGATTTTCTTCCCAGTGTCATTCGCTCATGGGGTGAGTGGCTGAAGCACAGCTGCAGGCCCCACCACAGCCCTGGTGACTATGTTGCAGGCAGACTCAGGGAGACTGGATAAAGCTGACTCTGTAGGCCAAGCAGGCTATGGAAAACTGTGGCCTCCAGGGACTTTCCCTCTGCATCTGCAGCAATGGGGCTTCTGCCATCTGTTCTGCTCAGTGCCAGTTATGTGCTGTCCCAGCTCCCCAGCAGCCTTCACCGTGGCAAAGGACTTGAGGTGACCAAGAGCTCTGTCTGAGGGATCAGCTCTGGCTCCAGACACTTCTGGCACATCCCACGGCTATACAGGCTGTGCCCCAACCTGCAAGGGCCCATCACTGCCTTTACAGTCCAAGAAGAGCAAGGGGCACAGCAAAGAAGGAGGAGCTGACCCGTTTCTTGTAGTAAATCCTCCACTTGTGATACTCCTTCATCACCACCTCAATCCGGCGCTTCCAGTAATTCCCTTCCAGCACAACAGCCTAGTGGGACACAACCGACACACACATCATAACACACTCCTGCCTAGTAGAAAGGCCAGCACAGCAGAGGCTGAGAGCTCCCTCCAGTGCATCCTTTCCTACAGCACCCACTGCTGGGAGAGGCAGGGGCTGGAGTAGCTGGGAGCTCCCCCACACCCAGGGCTCCTGCTCTGCCCACTACAATGCTCTCAGCTGGGAGAAGCTTGATCCAGACATCCCTGCCTGTCCTGTGCCTGGAGCACAGCATGGCTCCATCTGGTTGCTCAGGATCTAGGGCTGGCTGTTCTGGATCAGAACAGAGACCATTTTCATGTAAGAAATGTATTGGAAACTGGAACATGGGTGTAGTGGAGGAGCTCCCATCCCATCGACACACACTGCCCCAGGAGCTGCGGGCTCTCAGCCCACAATCCATTGGCTGCTCCAGGTGAAGGCCCCTCTCCAGGTGGCTAGGAAGAGTAGAGGGTATGTACCTCTGGTTTTCGGTGCTCATCAGCCTCAGAGCCCTCCAGGGGAGTCACAAACCCGCACACAGGGTTCTTCCTCCGCTCCACATCTACCACACCAAAGAGCAGAGTCACAGTTTATGTGCCACAGCAATGCCCTCCTTCCCCCACTCCATCCTTGGAGAGGACCCCTCCACAGCACCCAAACAGTCACCCCTCAGGAGTCCCTCTTGTGGGATGAGAATTTGTCCATCAGCCCTTCAAGAGAGAACCTTTTCGTGTCCCCATGAATCCCACCCCTCAATCTGAAAAGAGACACCTTTGGAGAGGATTCAGTGCCCTCCAAGGGCCTAAACCCTTGTACTCACACTGAATATACCAGGCTCTCCAGATGGCATTATTGAGGCGGATTTTATCTCGGCAAAGCAACCTCAGACCCTTGAAATTCTTCCACTTTGGAGATACCAGCTTGCCACTGAAATAACAAACACAAGACAAGCAGATGGGACAGGACCCGGGAGAAAGCACTTCCTGGCAGGAACTTCCAGCCAAAGATCTTACAGTGCTTTACAATCAGCAACAGAGACACCCCCTCCCCGGGCACCTCTATGAGCTAGGTGAGGGGTATATAGAAATCATATCCCGACCTGAATTGCAGCCACTTCTGGGGTGTAGCACAGCAACCAATAGCTGTTTATGAAAGGAAGACACGATGTGTAGCCACCTGGTGAAGGCTACACAGTGAGGGGCATGGGCTCTTGGGAGCTGGCTCAGAACTACCAATGCCTGTGCTGCTCTTTGCATGACACTGTGAAAATCATCTGAAGATGAATCTACTAAATGAGTCCATTACAAGTCCAAAAGAGTCTATTAAATATTTTGCCCTCTTGCACATGCTTCATATGTGACCTCAGACTTCAGTTGCAGTCTGCATGCCTTAGGCATCAGGGGGGGTATAGGACATGGCCAGTGGATGGGCAGTAGACAGGAGTTGTCTGAGAGAGGAAATAGGGCAGGCAGGCTAGGTAGGAGATGGAGGGCATTGGGGTTGTCAAAGGGGGTTTGCTTCAGCTCCAAGAGAGGCAGGGATATGCCAGAGCAAGGCTCCCCCGCCCCTGGGTCCAGACCTGAAGCGTATATGCCAGAGCACTGCTCCCCCGCCCCTGGGTCCAGACCTGAAGCGCTACCTCCCCTCCACCCCGCTACTATCAAGACCAGTGCTGCATCCTCCCTCTCTGTATCCAGGCTCCCAGAAGCACCCATGTTTGTTTTACAGCTTGTTGTGGTGGCAACGGTGCCCCTAATGGAGCTTGCAGTACGGGCAGCCTCATTACACTAATCCATGCACACAGGCTCCAAACACATCCCCTTCCAGCTGAAAGAGCAGGTAAACACCAGCTGGGAGGACATGGCGTGCTCAGCAGAGTTAGAGGGAAAGCACCCCAGCCTGGAATTACAGGCTGGGGATTTGGACCAGCAAACCTTGTGAGCAAGTTCTGGAGCTGGGGAACAGCTCCAGGGTATGATCCAGCTGGGGCCAGCGCCCATGAAACACATCAGCCTTTGCAGTGACAGCCCCAGACCCTCCAGTGGCTTCCTGCTCCCTCCTGAAGGGCTTTGGAGACCAAGACTGCTGCTCTGCCATTTGACTTCCAGGCTTCCAGGAAAGGCTGAGTGTGGGCAACAGAGTCAGCCAGTACTACTGTCACTCTGCTATGCCTCCCTTTCCTAGGGAGCCTATAGTCTGCTGGAGTATGCACCTGGCCTGCTCTGGAATCACTCTACACATCACCGTCATCTGAAGTAACCTTCAAGTGAAAGCAAGGCCTGAGAGAGAGCTGGTAGGGGCCAAATGGGCAGCATCTGCTATCCCTGCAGAAGATGGAAATGAACCAGAGTTTGGGGACTACAGCAAGAGAGTGAGCACAGAGCGGAAGGTGGGAAAGGGCTTTTTCTACTCTGTTGGTGAGATTGTCCCCATCCTTTGACAAAAGAGTGAATTCATCTTTGCGTTTAGAGTTTTACTTGGCTGCAGTTTCCTGTAGAACAAGTGTGGGCAATTATTTCAGCTGGAGGGCCACTTAATGGCTTTTGGGGACCTGTCAAGGGCCACATCCATCTCTCTTCTCTTCTCTTCTTGGCTTGGCTCGTCTCATCTCTTCTCTGTCTCTCCCTTCCCCCCCCTTCCCTCCAGAACCCAGCTGCAGTTGTAGCTCACCAGGAGCCCTGATGCTCAGCTGTGGTCCCAGACAGGGACTTCCATTGTGCAGCCAGCAAGTTCTGGAGCCCCGACATGGAGCCTGCCGGTGGTGCCCACAGCTGCTGCTGCCATCCACCCAGCACAGCAGAAGCTCCTGCCTAGGTCAACAGCTGATGCTGCCAGCAGGCTCTGGGTCAGGACTCCACGTGGGAGTTTCCAGCATGCCAGGAGAGTGGCAGCATCAGCTGTGGAAACCACTGGTAGGTTCTGCATTGGGGCTCCCAAACCTGCCAGCGGCATCCACAACTGATGGATCCACCACCTCCCTCCTGGCACGGTGAAAGCTCTGCGCAGGGCCACAGATGATGTCACCGCATCAAGGGCTGATGCTGCCGGGTGGAAGCAGTCCCACCTGTTCAGCACCACACAGAGGTCAGAGCTGCCAGTCACCCATGGGCCAGATCCAATGAGTTGGCACTTGGCAGTTGTCCACCCATGGTCCATATCAAGGCTGTTGATGGCCCAGATCCAGCCCACAGACCATATTTGGCCCACCCCAGCTGTAGAACCATCCCAGGGACATTTCGCAAAGGGATCTTGCTCTCTGATGTAGGCTTTATGGCTGTGGTCCCTGTGCCGTCTCCTATTTAGAATTTCCCTCTGAGGATCCTAAGTGGAGGGATCTGCTGGGAGCACATGATGCAAGGGATCTGAATTGGTTTCCTTTTTATTCTTGTTCATGATTCATGGTGCTGGGCACAAGCAAAGAAAGAGCCTCTTGGAAGCAGGGGAGGGAATGTGTTTGACAATGCAGCTGAAATTTTACACCCATTCATATAGCGTACTGGTTGATTTCCCCAAAGAATCCTCCCCTGTACGGGATGCAGATGTGGAAAGAAGACACATGTGATTGGAAGGAACCTCTCTGGGTCACTGGGTCCAGTCCTATCACAGCCACCTATGCTATATAATCCCTTTACATGCTAAGTAAGGGCTGGATCCTCTCCCTGTATTGGTAGTAGAAGGCCGTGTCAAACAATGCCAACCTCCTTGTTATTGCTAGCACCGTCCCAGTTTTTTACAGTAGATGCAGCGTCCTTGGGTGATGCTATCCTGGTGTATCTCAAAGTAACTGTCACAGGTACAGGCAGTGCCACCAGACACAATGAGATGGCAGGTTGTTCCTGCCACTCACTCCTTTATTTGCTCAGGTCTTCCACTTACAGATACTTCTAACACAGAACCCACCAGATTTTGTATCAACACTTCCTGAAATCTGTTTCCTATGACTAGGGACCTACCAAAATTGTGGCAGAAATGCATTGCATGGCAGCTCCTTTAATCTTGCAGTTTCCCTCATGCGCCCCTAGCCCCGACTGGTGGAGGGGCCCCACTGCTCACCATTCGCCGCTCACTCCTGATCGGTGGGGAGGAAAAAACCACAGTTTTAAACATGGTGTGGTTTTTGCCTCCTGCCACAGATTGGCTGAGGGGCCCCAGCGGCCCTACTGCTTGCTGCTGACTGGCCAGGGGGCCAAAACTGCCCCATATTTAAAACTATGGTTTTCTCCTCCTTATTGATCAGGAGCAAATAGTGAGGCCCCTCCGCCAATCAGCAATGAGAGCAGAGAAGCACACCCAGGAAACTCCAAGATTAAAGGAGCCGCTGCACAGCATACTTGCACCACGATTTCAGTAGGTCCCTACCTATGACCTGGTATCAAGGAGCCAGATTTCAAAATTTCATAGATGTCATAGACATTAGGGCCGGAAGGGACCTCGGAAGATCATCGAGTCCAGCCCCCTGCCCAAAGGGCAGGAAGTCAGCTGGGGTCAATAACTCAGCAGCACCCAGAGTACCTCCAGCATGCCAATTTCTGTGGAACACCTTTGGACATAGTATCCTAGATCAAGTCCATGATCACTTCTACATAATGGGCTCAGTGCTATTGGCTCTGTTATAGGGAACTACCAGATTATTTCCCCAGGGAGACTCCAAGAGTTCAACTGGATTTTTAAAGCAAGCTGAGAAGGAGCTCCTTGGAGTGTACTTTCTCTGGAAGGCTGGTTACGGTGATGCTCTTCAGCCTTCCCTGGTTTTATAAGAGTGTAGTTCCCTGTGATGCCATCACACCACCTCATCCTGGTTCAGCCACATGGATCTGTGAGGTGTCTTCTAGCAAGTCCATTAGAAGTTCTTTCAGTCATAGGGAAGACCGCTGCTACAAGGATAATAATCCTCCTCATGAGATGCATCTGTCATTGAACCCCAGGCACAGCCTTCTGTGGCCAGAGGGAAGCAAAGCGCAAACTCAACAGGACCCTCTTCAAAGGGTGTCCTGGACTGATCCATGGAAACAAGGCTGCTCTACAAAAACCTACCAGATGGACAAGACTGCCAGCTTTTCACATACATTTGTGACCCCTGCTCAACACAGCAGAAAAGAAGGGGTGTCGCCTCTATTCTCTGCTGCACCCACCTGTAACAGGGAGCCAGGGGCTTCTGATACTTTAAGGGAGAGTAGAAAGAGCAGCAGAAAGAGCCCCAGGTAGTTGAACAGGAGTTAGGTGCAGGAGAGAAGGCACAGTAAGCTGCCCATTAAGGTGAAGGGACATATGTGCAGCTGGTCAAAAGGACACCTGTCTGGAGGGGAGGAGCCCAGGGGATATAAACCCAGGTTCCTGGGGCAGAAGGACAGCGCAGCCTGGAAGCCTGCAGGAGAGGAGCTGCCAGCTCAAACCGGTAGGGATAGGAAACTGCAGGCCATGGCATGTACTTCCAGGGCAGAAGTGAGAACAGCCTTGCCCTGGGCCAAGGATGCCTGGAGGGCTGAGACCAGGTGCACGGCTGGGCTGAGGGGCCCAGATATCAAATGGCCAGAGATGGCTGAGGCTGAGACAGCTGGGTCCAAATCAGTGGGCCAGGGCCAGGGCTGGAAGCCTACAGCCTACAGTATGGTCATGGATGTAAGGATGAAAGGAGGCCATGCAGTGGTGACTCATAGGGGGTGCATGTGCACCCACTGAGAGCACTGGTGCATGCCCTGACAAGCTGCACTCCCTGTTTAGGTGATGGGCGCGGTGTGGGGGAGGCATGAGCGCTGGTGCCCTCCCTACGAGCGCTGGTTGGGGAGTGGGAGCACCGCAGTCGCTTCCTGACCAATATGATCGGCCACTGGGGATCCCCCCCCCAGTTGGTAAAATTGGCCATGGGGGACTCCCTGATTGCTGACTGGTTGCTGGGGGGGCACATGCCCCCCCTGACTAAAGTGGCA